CTTTGTCGTTTTGCTTCACGGTCCAGATTTCCTCAGCTCTATATTCCAACCATCCTGTTTAATTTTATTTACGAGACTTTTAGACTCTAAGATCTTTTTTGTTTTTGTTTTATTTTTAATTTAGGTGAAGTCCAGTTTATCAATTGTTCTTTTTATGGATTGTGCTTTTGGTGTCAAACCTAAGAAATCTTTGCCTAGCCCTCAAGTCTGAAGATTTTCTTTTAAGTTTTATAGTTTTACATTTAAACTTATGATCCGTTTTGAGTTTTTTTTTTTTTGGGGGGGTGCGGGGACAGAGTCTCCTTGCTCTGTTGCCCAGGCTGAAGTGGTGGCACAATCCCAGCTCACTGCAACCTCTGCCTCCCAGGTTCAAGCGATTCTCCTGCCTCAGCCTCTCGAGTAGTTGGGAGTACAGGCACGTGCCACCATGCCCAGCTAATTTTTGTATTTTTAGTAGAGATGGGGTTTCACCATGTTGGCCAGGCTGGTCCTGAACTCCTGACCTCAAGTGATCTGCCTGCTTTGGCCTCCCAAAGTGCTGGGATTACAGGCTTAAGCTACTGCACCTAGCCATTTTGACTTAATTTTTGCATAATGAGACTTAGGTTGTGGTTCATTTTTTCCTCATGGATATCTAATTGCTCTTAGTACCATTTATTGAAAAGGCTGTCATTGAATATCTTGGTTAAAAATCAGTTGAACTTAATTGTCAGGGTCCATTTCCAGGCCTTTCTCTATTCTCTGTTCCCTTCCATTAATCTATGTACCTATCCTTCTACCAATACCACACAGCCTTGATTACTGTAGCTAAATAAGTTTTAAAATGGACTGAATCTTCCGACTTTTTAAAAATTTCTTACTGTTTTAAATCTGAAGTCCTATGTGACGTTTTTAAGCCCACTAAGTCTCAGACTTCTGTCAGATAGAAGCCGTAACCCCAGCCCTACCTCTCTCAGCGACTGTAGGAATTGTGAAGGGAATCAGATGTAACATGCTGTGTAATATGCTGAAGCTTGGGTGTTAATACTCAAGCAGATTCCTCTCTGTACTTTCAGTGGAGGAATGATGGGCATGTTGTATCCAAACGCAGAGAGAACTGTTAGCGGTTTCACCGAGTGGTTTCACGTTTTATTTTGATAAATGCTCTC